CTATACATGCATGGAACACTTATCCAGACCTCCACATCAGCAAAATTCCTAGGACTAACATTTGACCAAAAATTAACGTAGGTCAAACATACAAATAACATTTTAACAAAAATCTGGAAACGCACAAATTATGCAAGAAGTCTAATAGGCAAAACCCAGGGAACATCACCTGATAACATTATTAAAATGTACAAAACATACATTCGACCAATAATAGAATATGCCAGTCCGGCATGGATAAACACAGTTCCTAAGCACATAAACAAACTACAAAGAATACAAAACACATTAATCACCTCTGCATACAGAGTCCCCCGTAGCACCTCATCAACATTTATGCACAGATACGCTAATATACAAACAGTAGCCGATAGACTCTTGCATAATACTATAAATTACTTTGAGAAAAATTGACAAAAGAACGACCTACTTTGTGAACTCGACCGTTATTACATACATGATGGAAGTAGACCTAAATACCTCTCGCCAGTTAACATTTATTTTAAAATGAAGGATGTGATCAGGTCACCTAACGTTAGACATATAAACCCGACACTAGTTAGAGCCTAGAAATAATATATTTAAAAGGGTAATACATGTAAAATATGTTCGATTAGTCTCTAACTAGTGACATGTGTAATTTGCACTATGGACTTGTATAAGCAATGCAAAACACAAAATGTAACTGTGATACATACATGGACATTGCCCTGAAAGGGGTCGGAGCAAGTGCGGTTTACTCCGACCCTCTTGTAGTATCAACACTCTACATTCACAGACGACAAACCACAGTCCGGAAAGGAGGAAGAGGTCCAAACGCACCTGACCCTCCTAGGTCACAAAGACCTAAATTCCTATCAGGAGGAGAGAGAGAGCTATGTAACAAATGTGACTTCAAACACAACCAGAGAGGCACTCAGTAGAGCGCACACCTCTGCCACGCAGCGTTGATCATATTCGGCTCTCAAAAAATGCGAAAATGTGTCCGTATATCCGTCGCTTTCAACAGAGATGGACCATTTTTTTTGGCAGGATAATGAGACATGGATATTCTACATAAGTGCACCAAGTTTCATCAAAATCCGATTATTTTTGACTGAGCAGTGGGGGCGTTATAATGTGACGGTCAATCTCACTATTCGTTGGTAAAAGAGTATCCCAAAAGTTGGCGGTGGGTGGTGATGACTAGCAGCTTTCCCACTAGTCTTACACTGCTAAATTAGGGACGGCTAGTGCAGATAGCCCTCGTGTAGCTTAGCGCGAAATTCAAAACAAACAAACAATAATTGTCACTGATATTTTTTTATAACTTAGCGTGGAAATTTCTATTTGCAACATCCCAAAACATGTTTCTACTTCAGTATATCAATTGGGGCCTGGTGTGGCTTAGCAATTAGTGTGCCAGATTATGGATCTGAAGGTTCCAGGTTCATTTCTCGTTGGCGCAAAAAAAAAAAAATCACGCTCCGCACTTTGACTCATGGGTGTGCTAGAAGAGAGGCGGTCGAATCCTAATATTCGATTAGAGCAGCCCAAGATTTGGCGGTGGGCGCTGTTGACTAGTTATCTTCCCTTTAGCCTATCAGTTCAAAAATAAGGGAGGGTTAGCGCATGTAGTTGCGAAACTCTGAAATTAAAGCAACAGCTGTATTAACCTTATCAACTTAGTTGTCACGGAGATTTGATCAAGGTACTCTAATAATAAATGTTTAAAACATTTTATCAGAATGTATTATGTTTAGTACTTGTGTATTCTGTACACTGCGAAAGGAAATTAGTATTCAGGGCTGTACTGAATGAACTGATGCATTTGTGTCTGTTTTTCGTAACGTCTAAGAAAGTAATGGTAACCTCAGGTGAAAGTGTGAGAATTAGAACGAACGTGTACGTTATTCTCAGATATATGAAAAAAGTATATTATGTCCAGTCATTTTCGGCTGTGCTTGGACACATTGACACTGTATTCTTCCAAACGTTCATTGTTCGATTGTAGTTTAACGCAACTCTCAAATTAGCATTATTTAATTGCTTATTTTCGCTATTTTCGTGAGTGGTTGATGTAATATAAACACCAACATTCGAAGAACTCCGCTCTGCTCAAAAGCCTTGATACTTTGACGATAACCCAGGCGCCCTAGTGACTGTTTTATTTGGTTTTTTTTTGTTGTTGTTGTTTTTATATCAGAATTCGAACATGAGTATGAGAAATTCAGCTGTTATGGCTTCAGTATTAAATATTTCACCACACTCGTAACATAAAAAAACTTTAACAAACAACTTCAGTATCCTTGCAGAGCTGTTTGATGTGTAGAAGTACAAGCTGTGTCAAAACAAGGTTATTTGCACTTATACGAGTTAAGCAAGAGAGATTTTTTTCATAACAGTGAAGACATATGCAAACGTTTTCACTACAGTCTTTTGTATTTATGGCAAAACTATTGAGGCCAGTCAACAGCACCCCACCGTCCACGCTAAGCGATTGATTGTCACTCTTATAACGCACCCACAGCTGAAAATGTGTGGAATATTTGTGTGTAATAGCACGGTTTCGAACGCGGCTCACCAACTCCGAAATCTAGAGCTGTACTATAGGGCCAATTCGCGACCCCACTCTAGAAGAATACGACAAACTCGACTGATCTTAATACGAGAGAATTTATAATTTATTGTTTAATCTATGACAGGTGTGGTGAAACTTCTTTTGAGTCAAAGTGGACTATATGCAAGTCCAGGAACGTTATTAAAACATGCCATCAAAACACGATAATATCCATTATATAGAAACAGAAAATGAAAGCACGATAATATCCATTATACAGAAATACAGAATGAAAACACGATATAATCCATCATACAGAAATACAGAATGAAAACACGATATAATCCATTATACAGAAATACAGAATGAAAACACGATATAATCCATTATACAGAAATACAGAATGAAAACACGATAAAATCCATTATATAGAAATACAGAATAAAAACACGATAATATCCATTATATAGAAATACAGAATAAAAACACGATAATATCCATTATACAGAAATACAGAATGAAAACACGATAATATCCATTATATAGAAATACAGAATGAAAACACGATAAAATCCATTGTATAGAATACAGAATGAAAACACGATAATATCCATTATATAGAAATACACAATGCACATACCACCGACTGTACACTACCAGAGAAATTAACTAAATTAACAGCCTCTTAATTTAATTTGTAGTAATTAACGCCGTTCCGTTATATACAGTAATATGTACAAAGTTTGAGCAATTTTCTTATTCTTGTAAAGGGAGCTTTATCTGATCCTTGTGATATCAGCATATTAAAAAGTAAGAATGACCCTTTTATTTGTATTTATATGGTCAAGTTCTTTTAAGCGAGACCGTAGTTACTAATTTTCATTTTATAAATAGCTTAATTTATACTAAGGAGTTCTTATAACAGTTTATGTTCACATTTGATATATGAAACCTCGGATCCAAACTCATGTACGCTATCCACTGGACCCTCTTGACCCTATATGTGTAGTTAAGGGAAATATTTCTTTCAGTTTTCTATTAGATATTAGCTGCCAGGTTTCCAATTCTAGATTTAACTTTTATTTTCTGATAATACTACTTCTAATTACTTTATTCCCGTCTTTAGTAAACAAGTAAGAGTCGGGTGTGACCTAGTCGTTAGTGTGCCTGGTGAGGATCGGAAGTTCTAAGGTTTGTTTGACAATATTTCCGTGAACATCGTCTAAACGTTCAGCTTGTGGGACATTATAGCTGCGACAGTCAATCCAACATTCGGTTAAGAGTATACGCTACTGACTAGTTGCCTTCTTCTGGCAGCGGTTCTACATTAGGAATGGCTACGCCTAAAGCTTTGACCTGGCATTACTGACCACGTGTCCACAAAGCGCTGTTAAGGTTGAAAATACCAAACACCAGTGAACAAAACAGCACTACAAGAAAAGCATCCTAATATGGGTCAGACAACTGACACTTGGGGTACGACTCCAATTAAGTTGTGAGTTTTATTCAACTCCTCCATTCGAGGATGTCTGAGGTCTGAATCTTGATTCCATTGCAATTTAATTTTATTTATCTTTAAACACTAAGCCTTGTTGTACTGTGAACTTCCGCTTAATCTTCTAAAACCATTTTTTATTTAGTAAGTAAAATTTACTAAGCGTTTAACTGGCTTAATTTTGTCTTGGTTTTAAAACACCCGCTCAATTTTCATCCATTATAAAAAAAAAAAATATTCATGGTCGTATTATGACCGGAAACGTCAATTATCCATTCTTCTAACTCATAAACCACACCTTATAGTTCTTTGTAGTTTTAGTAAAATTAAACTATTGAAGTACACTACACTTACTCCAGAGTAATTAATGAAACTAACATTTTTTTTTATAAACACGATGAATTTATCCACTGCCTTTTCTAGTTCCTTCGCTACGATACCTTATGTATTATGTTTATGAAACGGTAGTTACAAAACGTGAAGACCACATTAACATACCACACGTTAGAAGAGAGTAAAGTCCGCTTCTATATTTAACCCAAGCATATAGCTACCAGGTTTTTGCGAATTGAGACTGAAATAGCATTATGTAAATTCTATATGTAATGGTAAAGCATTGCGTAAGTAATTGTTTTGTTTGACTTCTTGTTGCTCCCTGGTGTTTCAGTAGTAAGCTTGAGTGTTTTAAGCACTAAAATTTGCAGTTCGATACCTGCAGTGGGGACAGCGCGGATAGCCTAATATGTAGACGTGCGCTTAAAGCAAGTAGTTAATAAGATATCTTTGTAACATTTTCAGATTTCGCTGAAGATGGACTAAATGTATTCTGAAATGTTCGAATATTGTAAGCAAAGGGTTTATTTTAGAACATCATTGAATATCTTATCTTCGTTTTTACTGAAATTATAGACTATTTTTCATCAATATATCGCTTAAAGGTATCCATCCAGTAATTGATTTCATTATAATGGTCACACCTTGTTAGCACTTAACAAAAGACGCGAGCGATTACACAACACCTCGTATTTCCGTCTGTTTGAAGCACTTGAAGAAAGTGTGTTTTTTAAAACCCGTGGATTAAAAATACAACCACCCTGTCATACTACACGCGGGTTAAAAATACAACCAACCTGTCATAATACCTGCGGGTTAAAAATACAGCCACCCTGTCATATAATCTGCGGGTTAAAAATACAACCACCCTGTTATAAATCCTGCGGGTTAAAAATACAACCACCCTGTCATAATACATGCGGGTTAAAAATACAACCACCCTGTCATAAAAGCTGCAGGTTAAAAATACAACCACCATGTCATAAAAGCTGCAGGTTAAAAATACAGCCACCCTGTCATATAATCTACGGTTAAAAATACAACCACCCTGTCATATAACCTGCGGGTTAAAAATACGGCCACAACACTTCTGTCACATGAACATTTCTTTGGTTAAACTTGATTTTAGCCAAAAATATACATAATTTGATTTTCTACTTAAGATACATATTAACACACTTTTTTAATGTTTCGAAATTAGTCGAAGCTATATCGATTAATTTATGAAGCTTTTTTTTAGCGTAAAGTTGCACAGCGCTCGGACTCGAATCCTGGATTTTATTGTTGTAAGTCCGTAAGCTTACCGCTGACTCGCGTAGGAACATTAATTTATGAACTTTTCCTAATTTATTAGCCTATGGATTGACACAATGACACTGACTATTAACACTATTATACCAAATTAAATCCACTGATTAGAGCTGAATAAGCACAGTTACAATAAAATTAGTTTTTGTTGAACTTACCTAGAGGTGAGTTACCCGGATATCCGTTTGAAAGATATCTTGATAAGGCATACCAGGTTTCAGTGACAATTATTAGTCATCGTGTTACTTATTTGTAATGTTGGATACTTATTTTCTAAAACAATAGACTACATCTTTTTAAAAACAAAAAATGCAAAGTTTAACACCGATCCGATATTCATTAACAGACAATGAAGCCAAGGAAACGTTAAAAAGTAAGGTGCCTAAGATTGGATTGTTAATTGCAAATGTTACCCATTTTCAAAAAGCCTTTTTTGAGCTATAAATGCTGAATAAATAGTTTTCAGCAAGATATGTTATATATATCGTGAAGATACAAAATGGGCTACCTCAGTTTTTCCAGAGGGGAGGAATCGAACCTCAGATTTAGCGTTGTAAGTCCGTAAACTTACAGCTAACCCACTGGGGAACTAGACAAAATGAGGAACACTAAAGATGAACATGAAATTGACCATCCTGGTAAGAAAAGGTCATCATGTGATAAATATGGTTTAGAAAGGAGGAAAGGAATTATCAATGGATCTCACCCATTTTCTTTTTACACATATTCTTTTAAAGTATTTATGCACCAAATTATTCGTGGGTCCATGATTTTGATGGTTGCAGGGCTCCCAATTACACATGAGACACACAGAAAAAAAGGAGTAAAATATGATAACTATTACAATGCATCGCACTCATTACTGCTGTATGTTTCTAATTTTTCATAGCAAATGAGTGATTTCACGCAGTTTTTTTTTTAATTAGTACTTTACGTTGAATTTTGCAACGGGTAAAACAAAATTATTCAGTAATGATCCCACCGATATAGTGAACGGTATAAAAACATTTCGGTAATATAAGGTTTTAAAAAATCAAGATAATTTTCCCAAAATATTTTAACGAAAGATATTTATATATATACTTAATTTGATTACTACCCATCGTTTTTTTTCCCCTTCCCTTCCTTCTCTCTACAGTCGCGACTGGGGACGTTGCTTGGACGATGAACCTTCCGATCACGGTTTCTCGTTTCCTCAGCTGCCGCCAGGGGCTATGTATGATGCAGACCATCAATGTCGGCTGCAATATGGATCAACAGCAGAACACTGTGAGGGAATTGAGGTTAGTAATATATATATATATATATATGTATATGTCACTTCTAGAACGAAACGTTTAGATTAAACCAATGAAAATCAAACAACGTAAATATATGTATGTGTGTATACAATCACACACACACACACACACACATACACACACACATATATATATATATATATATAGAAATGAAATCAGTTGAGATAAAAAAGAGACCTGTGTAACCAAAACATATACAAGTTTTATAAATATTTATGTTACCTGTCTAGAGCTGTAACCAGATGAAATCAAACTACGACTATATACACCTAGAATTGAAACTAACTAAAATTGAACGGGCGGGGCCTAATTGTTAGCTAGTCTGCAGATTAGAAGCTAAAACCAGTTCTAGTGTTTAGCGGTGAAACTAAAATCACTCTCAGTGTTTAGTGGGGAAGTTGAAAACAGTCGTAGTGTTTTGTAAGAAAACTAGTGAGGACGTTAAAAATAGCTTTGGTATTTTTAAAAAAACTAATTAAAACTTGATGAAGCGATAAGTTATCTTGGAATAAACGTCTCTTATATTTTCTGTTTACAAACTTTCAATCTCTATGTAACTGATACTGTTGTTTCTCTTTATCTATCTATATAATTTAACTCGCCTACTTTCTCACGAAAGGGATATTTAAAGTGATGGAGCAGTTTACATATGTTTAGATGTCTGTTTCTTGGACCACATGTGTTTTACAAAACTAAAAATATTCAGTTAAGGTGAAAAGGATATTTGAAGTGATGTATTAACTTACATACGTCTCTCTGTTTTTCTGACCGTATGTGTGCTCGCACTATTTTTAAATAAATTTAGTTAGTAAACGAAAGCCGATAATTTAGTTACTTTTGATTAAGACAAAATAGAGCGTAAATAAACAAAATATTTAGAATGCCGGGATAAAACCCGGGAATAAGCCAGTAAGATCGTAAAATCTTGGGATTCTAAAAAAACCTTTGTCATTGCAACTCCTAGTTTCACGTTTAAGCATCAGATTATAGCAATATATACCCGGCATTCTGAGACTCGTAACACACACAGGAGACTGCTAAAACCTTGAGCATTTGTACGAATGGCTTTGTAGTTAAAACTTTTACGTTTTGAACGCTTGAATCGGATCCTCTCTGTCTGTGTGTCTGACTCACCATTACACAGCAACAAGGGTCGTTTAGAATGTAGAATGTAAGCAATTAATTTTATATAGAGACAACTTTCTATTAGGTTTCAATTACGTTTGATAAAATAAACCGCATTGGTTAAAATATGTTTAAATGCTAACGAATCAGCAGCAAGGACAGAAAACGATTTTTAAGCAGTTTGCATTGAATAAAGAACATAAAAATGCATTCAATGAATTACCTTGTAGTAGCGTCTGAGTGTCAAAGCATAGACTGTATTATTGTTCGTCTACTATGTCTCACAACAAAATTTGGAAATTTTCACAACCTAAAATATAATAGAAATACTGAATCAAATTATTTCGAATATTTTAAAGTCAAAATTAAATCCTATTTGATATGCTTCTTTGAAGTTTCGTACAATCTGATCAAGTATAGCCACTGTGGGAAGAAAAACATCAAAGGATATTAGTGACATTCCTCTGGTCCAGAAAGTGTTAATATAATTACGAAAGTCTCGGGGTTCTTCTCTATAAATCCCTGGATTCTAGGATCTCATATCTCAATGTAAAACGTTATGGTCTTCAACTCCGAGGTCAAGCTTTAGAACAGTGACTGGAATGCTGGAAAGACGCATGTGAGGGGGTGGTAGACATTTGTAGTTTAAATATATCTAAAGTTTATGTTCAAAAGATGTTGTTGTTGTTATTTCTACACCAGACGGGAGGTCATCGCACCCAGGAACGTATTTTGAGTTTCTTTTATATCGTTTATTTGGCACAACACGAAAACGATATCAAGTTCGCCGTTATTGAGAATCAACATGAATGCAGTTCGTGAGATTAGGGTCTTATAACCGCGCATGTTTCCATGCCAGGTTTTTACATTTTATGTAAGTATATGGCTCGTTTAGAAGTGAGCGACGCCACTTATTGACCTATGTGACACCTCGAAAATCCCAGTCCAGACGCCTTTCTCTCCTTTTAGATGCGCTGTCTGTTCAGTCTATTAAAAATGATTTGACCAAGGTCCATTTTTATTCGTGGAAAAATACGATCGCGTGCGTGTAACGTGAACGACAGCTGTTGATCGATGTTGTCGGCAAATTCTTATATTATGATATGTTGTGTTTATTTTTATGCTCGTTCAGAAGTTTCAAGGGTAAAAAACAAACAAACAAAAAACACTCGCTTGCTTGTAACGTGTTTATATTAACCACTTTTATATACTTACAGAACAGTTTCAAAGTGCATGTTTTTCATTCTGCTCATCTTGTATCTCATTTGAAAGGGTACTTTTAGTATATTTTGAGGCACATTTCAAGTTCTTGGAAAATATATAATATTATACACACTTTGCAATATTTAAGTAAGCAAAGTTCGAGTGTGATAAGAGATCGCCTTAAGAAATGTTTTACGATACCATTGATACAATTTATTGTTTTTTGTTTTTTTTCATTTAAGTCGAGTATTGAACCATGTGCATAACAGTTGTTAAGCTGGAGTCAAAATAAAATTGTTATTTCACGCTGTTGATGAGTAGTTCCAGGTGGCAAAATTTACTTGTGGATTGCAAATAAGCTTTAAAAGTTTAATTGATATGAAAAAAAAAACGACAACAAAAAGAAAGAAACTGCGTATTGAAGCATATTTTTCTTTTCGTTTACTGTGAAAACCCCAGAGCTAGTGATGCACGATAACCTTGTAAAGCCCGTAATTATAACACAATCAATCTGCTACGATCTTTATTACACATTTCTGCACAAATATCTTTATTTCTTTACATAGTCAGAACGTCGATTCAAATCCAAAATTTTTATCCTGAGTGACAGGTTATGTTTTTTTATTCCTTTAACCCCTGTGCCCGGCATGGCCAGGTGGATAAGGCGCT